TCTTTTTCTATCTTCATTCCAATGATTTGCTAGTAGGAAGTTTTCTATTATTCTACTGTCATATCTTTCTCTCCCTCCTCCCCATTTTTTTCTATTCTCTTATTTCCTGACCCTGATCTAATCTTGCTATTGTTCCTATTAGCAAGTTTAAGCAAGCAAACTTCAAACAGCCAAGGAATGGGTTACAAGCTTTAATGGGCACACAGATAATCATCTAAATTACACTTCTAGAATTGATGGACCAGACAGGCTTAGAGAGTAACTATACTAGTTTTCACTCTTAATCAAAATGCATTGTGTATCTCAGGAAATATCAGCCTTGCCCCTCTGTCTGAAAGGCTGGGCAATACTGATTAACAAAAGCAGCTGCATTAGCTTTCATCTCTCCTGAATTTTGCTCAAGTGACATGAAAGGCAAATGTGACCCTAGCTCAAACGCCAAACGCTCATCACTGGGATATTATCCATCCTTGGCTTGCAGATGACTCTACTCAGCAAAACAGTTGTTGCCAATTTTCACGATCTGTTAACACTTAGGAACTTCATATGGTGACATATCCTCTTTCACCTTTATTGGGTGTATTGTCAAGGGGGAAGTGGAAAGAGCGACTTCATATTGTCTGCGGAGTTCAAGAGTGATGGCTTGGGAGAAGCTCAAAAGGTTTCAGTGAATGCATGCTCCAATTAACAGATAGGGCTTCATTTCAGGAGAGAAGGGACAAGCCATGCTGGGCTGGATTAATGAAATTAATACTTGTACAAATGATCAAATGTCACTTTTCCTTGCAAATGCAAAGCTTCTTAGAAGTCTTAAAAATACATACATAATATTGCACATAATAAGCCCAAATATCTAGGCTTATATTTTAGGTGAACCTCACCAAACATTTCACCAAAAGTTCAGAGAGATGTCTTTAACTGATACTTTGCAAACAATGGTTTATCAATGGTAATGGTAATCAATTTTCCCCAAATATCACTTAGTTTTAACATTATGGAAAAGATCATACCTGTCAGTGTTCTTTAATGCTGTAAATAACGTGATGTTTTGGCTTAAGTAAAGAGGGAGTGACACAGAAAAATTTTATAATTTGATAATTCTCAGGGATCTACTTATCTTCTTCATAGATGATCTCATGCCATTAATTACTGAAAATATGGATCTAACAACTGACCAGATAGGATGATTCCTTTAACAATGAAATATGGGCAGTGAAATCAATGCTCAAATTACAGAAGAGAAGAGAATTATCTTTTATTATATCGCTTAGATCTTGATAGAAGTCTCAAGGGGACTATGTTTGGGCTAAAATGGAGAAGACACAATTTGTGAATCTAATCTTCTTATACTTCATCCTCTAATTTAAGTACTGGTAGAAATGTTCTCCCTTTCTCCATGGGACGCTTAGAAACCGAGCAATTTGCTCCATCTTCAAGTACCCCATTTGCAAGCAGATGAAGCTTCTTTGGAGTGCTCCATTTTCAAGTGCTCTATAGATGCCCAAACACTTTTTACCCAGATGGAGAAATGACGAAGACTGGAAGCTTCGTCTGCTTGCAAATGGGGCGCTTGGAGACAGAGCAAATTGCTTGGTTTCTAAGTGCCCCATTTGCAAGCAGATGAAGTTTCCAGTCTCCCTCTGGGTGAACAGTGTTTGGGCACTTATAGGGTGCTTGACGTAGCTCCCCCTGTCCCCGCCTCATGGTGGCAGTATGGTGCGATGGGCCAGGTGGCCTCCTGCCGCAAGCGGTTGTGAGTGGTCACAGAGGTTGGCCAGCAGCCACATGGGCTTCTACTGGACGGGGCTGTTAGTGCTGCCGCTGTGAGGCGAGGCAGGTGTTGGGAAAAAAATAAGACATCCCCTGAAAATAAGACCTACTGCCTCTTTTGGAGGCAAAAGAAATATAAGATCGGGTCTTATTTTGGGGGAAAGATGGTAATTTAGTCATGTTGTCAAAGAATGAAATAAGATTGGTTTGGCATGATCTGTTTTTAACTAGTTATAACTTTATTTGTTTCTAGATGTTCACAGATCTGTTTTTTTTTCCGCCAGTATCTTCCCAGGTATTGATGTTAGGCTTATTGGTCTGGAGATTCCTGGGTCTGTTTTGTTCCCTTTTTTTCAATCCTCTCATAGTTCCTCAGTGCTCCAAGATTTTTTAAAGATATGATACAATAGCTCTGAGATAACATCTGCCAGTTCCTTCTGAAATCTTGGATGTAATCCATCAGGTCCTGGTGATTTATATTCATCAAGGTCAGACAGGTGTTCTCTTATCATTTTCTTGCTTAATTTAATTTTTATTTCTAGTCTGTCTTTTATAGCTATGTTTTTGGTGGGTTGGACTATAGCTTCTTTTTGTGTGAAGACTGATGCAAAGAATGAGTTAAGCAGCTCTGCTTTCTGTCTACTGCTTGTTACTTCCTTGCCATTTTTTCTCTTTCGTGGACCAACTGTTTCCTTGACTTTTTTCTTGTTATTTATATGTTCAAAGAAACTTTTTTTTAATTATCTTTGACTTTTGTTGCAAGTCTTTGTTTATTCTGAGCCTTTGCTTTCCTGACTTCATCTCTGCAGATTTGGGCTATCTGCCTTAGTTGTGTTATTAGTTATTTGATTCTACAGACATTGAACTTAAGTTATAATTGCATCTTTTCTTTCTTATTGAGGATAGAAGGCGTGTTTTAAATACAATCAAACTAATATCAATCAAACATAAATCCATAGCCTCTTCATTACCAGGAAAAGTATTCTATGCTATAATACAAATAATGGAAATTTCAGCTGCTTAAGATGCCATTATGTCTCAAACCTTTATCCTCAATAATTTGCTTTTAATGATGATATTACAGAAGAAATGAAATAACAATGTTTTGTACTTTTAGGAGTTGCACAGCTTTGGGACTCTACATTACTTTTCTGAGTAGCCTTGAACTTAATCCAGGGTTACTCAAACACATGAGACTTATTGGCAGCCTGGAAACTACCCAGCTTTTTTCTTTGTATTGTAACCTTCATCATGATATCAGCTTGCACTGAAACTTGATTATCCTAACAGGATTAGACATGAAAGAAAAGAGTCTCAGGATTGGACTTTCAACTGAAACCCCACTGCGAGAAAGACCACACCACTGTCTTTGACCTTTTCTTTCCAATGCACATGTCCAGTTGTGCCTAATCAAGTGTCTAAAGAAGATCTCAGGCTGTTTGCTCTATTTTTCCTTTAGCTCCTAGAACAGGTGTCTAGTTATTAAAAAGAAAAAAAAAACATGGAAATTTCTGCTCTCTGGCATAGGCAAACTCAACCAGCAATACTAATGTACTTCAGGACAAAAAAAAAAAAATACTATCACCACAAAAAGTCAGTCTATGCAGATTTTTTAAAAAAGAAAATACAGACTGCCTTTGCAAACTCCTATTTGAAATAAAGCAAAATAAAACCCACCTTTGATTATGTTACAGATTGGTTAGATGGTCTTTGAAAGGATATGCTCTCATTTGCATTAGCATAAAATACAGGCTAGGGAGCTAGTAAAGGTGAGTCCAAAGGCTGAGTCTCACCCTGTTTATTTTTCTTTTAATTTCCCCACCTACCCTTCAACTAGAAAGCTCGTATCACACATATTTTACAAAATTCTTCTTTTTCAAAGCAGTTTACAATGTGACATGGAAGCTGAACTTTGAAGGAATGAAACCCCCAAATTCCATTTGGCACATGGACATAGTGGCACAGTTAAAGTTATTTGACTGATGTTCAAAAGCAAGCCCATCTCCTTAAGTCATGGGAATGGGATGCGCTTGGGACAACCACAGCACTGAATAAAGAACCGTGTGAAGACAAACAGGAAGGCAATTGAAAACAAGGGTTCATAAACGTCAACTAGCAGTTAAACGGCATGACCAAAAATCCCTGATCTCAAACCACATTGATGATAAACAACACCAATTCGACTGGGAAGGAACAAAAATTATTGGGCATGCCAACACCTGCCACACACGTAAGGCCTAGTATTCCACCAAAGGAGCAATTAACAAGCATATTGATCTAGATCCAGCATTTGAATATGTAAGAAACCAGACCATTTAAAATGCTAATCAACAAGAGAACCAATCAGCTGCTCACAATTCAAATATAGCTCCAAACAAACAACCAATCATATGACCAACTGACCACACTGGCACACAAGACATTTATAAGCTAAGGAGAATAGGACAAGAAAATCCTGCTGCTGATGTTACCTAGTTTGGTAATAAAACATTTAGAAATTATATTGAAACAAGCTTGGAGAACAACTACAGCCAAAATCTAAAACCCGAGCTACAAGTATTTTCTATTATTTCAACCCTGTGAACAATATGGAATGGATTGCTTAGAGCTGCCATAAGCAATAAAGTCTGGTAACCACTTAATTATCAAGTAGGTAGGACCAGAATCCATTCTGGTCTGGACTGATCCTGCTGGTTCAGTCCATACATACATTTTTATCTACTAGCTTTCATTCTAAAATACCTTCTTTCCCTTGAACATTTATAATGAATAAAGCAATTTCAACTCCAAAGTCATCCTTTCAACCCAAAGTCAAGTACACCATAGACATAGGCAGGAACACATATTTGTAATTTGGTAATGGGTTAAATTAGATGATCTGTGTTGAGAGTTAAACTATTGCTATACATACTTCTGTAATGACTTCCTGGATTTTTGCCTGTACTTTTTAGATGTGAACCAAGGACATTCTAAATGCAAAGCATGTACTCTACTTGGAATCCATGAACCTCTGTAGCAAACAGTCACCTCCACAAGATCTTGCAAGAGAGTAAAATCTGGACTGACTAAAATAACAGAAGCAAGAAAAAACACAATAGAGGAGGTATTAAATGCCCACAAAACTATTGATTTCCTTCACTGTTGATGAATAAACTACGTGGTGCATGGATAAAACATTTGTTTGCTAACTGTATTTAAACTTTTGTTTGCTAACTGTATTTAGAGAGTACCTGTACAAAACCACACAGCATGAAATCATCGAATAATGGCAAGCTTGGACGGTCTTCACGAAAAATGATGATTTTGTAGATGCTCACAATTTCATTGACTGATCGAGACTTGTCTGTTACCACAATAATTACTATGTTTATACCTAATCCAAGTGGGTAATGTGCAGAGCTGTTAGAATAGAAGGAGAATGCAAAAACAATAGAACATTAATGAACTAAGTAATCTGTTCATTTTATCATAGACTAAAATATTCAAAAAGTATTTTACAGCTGTATAGGAGAGAATAAACTCTTTGGGATGATATGCAATGTTATCTTTCTGTTGTGTTTCTGTTCTGACATTTCCAAATGCTTGAATGTATAAATACTATGCCAGCCTCAATGTGCTTATCAGACAAAGCAAGGCATATGAACTGCAGGAAGAGAAATGTATATCAGAACCATCCTCAAAGTCTCACATAGCTCCGCTATATTGTTCTGTTATACAGTTCTGCTATCCGCACAGTTCTTCCACTTGCATTTAGTTGAGTAGAAACTTCCAAACACTTGGAATCTGGGCTTTATCAAGGTTCTCAATTGCAGACTTCCTTGCTAAGAATGGAGAAACTGAAAAAAAAAATTTAGACAGAGCTAGGATGGTTCTATCCTTCTTAATCATATTGAACTATCTATTCAGACAAAATACAGGTTGTCCTTGACTTACAGCAGTTTATTTAGTGACTGTTCAAAGTTACAACAGCAGTGAAAAAAGTGACTTATGGCCGTTTTTCACACAACCGTTGCAATATCCATATGGTCATGTGATCAAAATTCAGATACTTGGCAACTGGTTCATATTTATGATGGTTGCAGTGTCCTGGGGGTCATGTGATCAGCTTTTGCGACCTTCTGACAAGCAAAGTCAATGGGAAAGCCAGGTTTACTTAACAACTGTGTTACTAACTTAACAACTGCAGCGATTCACTTAACAACTGTAGAAAGAAAGGTCGTAAAATGGAGCAAAACTCACTTAACAAATGTTTCACTTAGCAATATAAGGGCTGAATTATGGTCATAACTTGAGGCCTGTAGCTAAATAAAATTATAAACTCTCTCCTTCCTTATTGCTCCAGTGTGCTCATAAAGTTTGGATGTTGTACCATTTTCTTTAACTTTAGTAGATGAAAGCTACTTTGTTGGGATTAGGATTAGTTGGACTTCACCTTCCATCACATACTTGCCCTATTAGGAACCTTGTACCTCTAAACTTTCTGTCCTAATGGTGGGGAAAGGAGAAGTAAGTATGGTATCTGTTCTGCAGAAAGCAGGCAGAATGGAAGAGTCTTGTCTTCCATGTAGGAAAAACACTGCAAAGACAAAAGGGTGGAAAAATGAAGAAAGGAACTCTATCCTTTATGCCCCTAGCAGTCAATAGAATATAAGGTGCAAACAGTTAATGCTTCACATCTCAAACAAATTTGCCAAACAAGACAATAAAAAGGTAGTTCCTTGTTGCTTAATATTAGGTGTTTAACCTCCTTCCATAAAGCAATCCTTAGCAATTGATGATAGCAATTAACTGCAGAGATGCAGGTGTAGAAGTTTCTTCCATTAAATAGATTTGTTGGATGAGGCCTTGGAAGGAAGAAGTGACATAGCAAAATTGCTGTTTTTTAGCAGGGGGTTGTGCTGCTTGTGAAGCAATATCAAAAGACTGCTTTGCATGAACCTTCATAGAAGCTTTGCACAAGTTTAATCTATACATGATATAACAAACTGTACAAACAGTACAAATATAAGCTTTGTATTCAAACACAGGAATCTGGTTTCTGCTCATTTCATGGCTAGAAATACAGAATTACCTGCACAGTTTACATATGCATAGAGATGCAAAATGGTTCAGTAAACTTGCCAAAATTGGGCCATTTCTCTTTCTCTTATGAATGTTCATGCATGCACATTTGTGTTACAGCCAAATCTATGAAGAAAATACAAGATGGTATCTTAAAAGGGCACTATATATCAATAGGTTCTTGCAGAAATGTTGTATGCGGTCATAATCAGCATTGCTATAGGAAAACTGCTCTTCCAAAGCTGGGGATTACAGTATACTAGTAGTGGCACTTTTAATGATAAGCATGTAGCAAATTGTCTGGTAAAGTAGAAAGGATTTTTATTGTACATCCCAAGAATATCACCCACCATTCCAATTACCTTGGTCCTTGTCTCTCATCCAAGTGAGCTTCACATTGACAATTCATGGGTTCTGCTCTAATCTTGATTGTCAAAAGATCAAAAGGCACCTCAGTGTAGTATTCTTTGATTCTTGGGTCAAAATTAGGATTTAAGTTCAAATGTGGGCTAGTGATGATCTGCCTGATATGAGGTAGTGTATCTTTATCTGTTTTATAAAGGGGGAAAGGAACCATTAAAAATGCTTATGTACATTAAATCAGTGACTGAGCTTTATGTTTCTAATACTGTTGCATTCAATTAATACACCATTCCTTCTGTTAGGCAGTTATGGCAAAATAACTAATACAAGATTTAATGGTTTTGTTTCAGATTTTAAAGACGTTTCTTAACATGAAGAGCCTCACAATGAGCTGTTTTGATGTCATATGTAGTAAACCTTTAATTAGAAATAATACAGCTCTTAGGTCCTTGGTTAGGACTTGAAGTGTTGAGTTTTTACCAGTCCCAGACTGTAAATCAAACTGAAGATTAAATCTATAACAATAACAACAACAACAACAACAACAACAACAATAATAATCAGATGAATCAGTTTCTGTAAAAACCAGAAAGTGAAATATGGCTAACAATTGAAGAACTTTTTTGATTCAGAAGGATGCAGAAAAGGGAAATAAACTTGAAAATTATAGGCCAATCACTTGTCTACCAACAACATACAAATTACTTACAGGCATTATTACAAACCAAATTTATGGGTATCTAGAAAACAAGGATTTGCTACTGGTAGAATAGAAAGGGTGCTGCAAAAATTCAAGAGAACCAAAGACCAACTGATGATTGATAAACTGGTTTTGGAGAATTCAAAGAAAAGACAAATTAATTTGTTCGTGGTCTGGATTGATTGTAAGAAAGCATTTGATTCTGTTCCACACAAAACAGAATCTGTTGAGATTGAGAAATGCTTAGACATTTTTGGAATTAGCAGCAACACCCAGAAATTCCTGAAGACTTCCATGAAGCTATGGCAAACTAAGTTGATGGCATATGGAGAAGAACTTGGTGAAGTTGAAATCAAATGAGGAATCTTCCAAGGTGACTCATTGTCACCTCTGTTATTTGTACTTTTGATGGTGCCACTAACAAGCATTTTGAACAAAACAACTGTGGCTATGAATTGGCTGAAAAGAGGTGGAAAATTCTCATTTGCTCTACATGAATGATTTAAAATTTTGGAAAAACAAAAGCTGAATTGAGCTCACTGCTAAAAAGCACTGAGGAGATTAGCAGAGATACCACGATGCAATTTGGCATTGTCAAATATGCAACAATTGCAATTAAGGCAGGAAAAATTGTTGAAGATGATGGATTTGAATTTGATAATGAAGAGTTGATAAAAGCAGTAACATCAGAAGTACTTAGGGGTTTTGGAAGCCTCTGACCATTGCACAACCATGTCAAGGAATCTACTTCAATAAAATACATAAAGTGAGTCTTGAGATCAAAGCTAAGTGAAGCAAATATCATAAAAGCAATTAACACCTAGGCAGTGCCTGAAATACAATACTCAGCTGGATTAAATGATTGGACTCAGCTAGAAGTTGATAACTTGGATTGAAAGACAAGAAAACTAGTGACAATATACCATGTTCTGCACACCAAAAAGTGATATTGATTGATTGTACTTGCCTAGATCTCAGAGTGGCAGATGACTCTTACAGGTGAAACAAATTGTGGAACAGGAAAAACATGGCTTAAATGACTACATAAAAAAGCTAAAGAGCCTCTGCTGAAGGAGATGAACAAGAGAAACCTTTTGAAAACAACGAGTTTGAAAGCAAAATATCGAAAGGAAACAATTGAGTATCGAGTTTTTAACTGGAAAAAAAAGCCTAGTCAATACCTAAAAGTCAATGCCTAAAAGACATTGAAAGAAAGATAGATACAAAGCTAACGTGGAGATGGTTGAGATCAGGGGTGCTGAAGAAAGAAACTGAAGGCTTCATTTTTGGCTGCCCAAGAACAAGCCCTGCAGACCAATTCCATGAAAGCAAAAATTCAATATCCCGGTAGCAACAGCAAATGTTGCTTGCTTTGCACTTGATTCCGGTGTCTTTAAGGCTACAGGGAAGGGATTGGGGGGGGGGGTGCATTCTTACTACACTGTGGAAGGAGAGCTCAGAAGGAAGAGAAACAGAAGGGCCGACCAGCTAGCTCAGGGGTCTACAAATTTAGCAACTTTAAGACTTGTGGACTTCAACTCCCAGAATTCCCCAACCAGCCATGATGGCTGAGGAATTCTGGGAGTTAAAGTCCACAAGTCTTAAAAATGCCAAGTTTGAAGACTCCTGAGCTAGCTGGTAGCAGGGCATATTAATAAACATGGATAAATTCATCATACATTTGTCAGTGCAACAGGAAAATGATTCAGCAAAGGAACAGCTGCCGAAGAAATTAAAACTGGTACTTTTTCCCTTTTTTTCTAGGTTTGTAATATTTTATTAGATTATAGAATAAAATACAAAAATACAAAAGCAAATAGTAAGACACAGTGGGGAGGAAAAAGGGGGAAAAAGTGAGGGGGAGAAGGGAAAAAGAACAGACCTCCTCTGTTACATTAGAAGGAACATTGAACCTCAACTTTTTACTTTTCCATAATATTATAAACTAGTCATTTCTATAAAAACAAATGAATCTAATCAGTAAAATCCAAAATCGCCCCCTTTTTTTAGACATCAAGTTTTTGACACCTTGCTAAGCATTGGTGGTACTCAAATATGTCCTAAAAGTGGTACAATCTGTGAAAAGCCCTGGCATAGATTGGTCCTTGGTTAGGACTTGAACTGTTAAGTTTTTACCAGTGCCAGACTGTGAATCAAATTGAAGATTAATAATAATAATAATGATGATGATGTAATAATTCAATAATTATTATTATTAAATAATTAAATAAATACTAAATATTAAATATAACAACAACAACAACCTTACTCAGAACTGTTACCATACATGTTATCTTAACACAGTGGTTCTCAACCTTTTTAATGCCATGACCCCCAACCGGTCGTAAGTCGAGGACTACTCAACCGGTCGTAAGTCGAGGACTACTCAACTGGTGCAGCACCGTTTGCAGAATGGGACTTTTGGCGGGCTCAGCAGGGCAGAGACAGCCTGGACAATTCCTATTGGCTTTTCAAAAGCCAATAGAATAAAAGGGAGTAGCACAGCTAAGGAAAAGGGGAAAAAATGGTGGACTGCGTTGTTTGGCGACCCCCGTGAAATGGTCGTTCGACCCCAAATGGGGTCCCAACCCACAGGTTGAGAACCACTGCCTTAACAGCTCTTAGGTCCTTGGTTAAGTTTTTACCAGTCCCAGACTGTGAATTGAATTGAAGATTAAATCTTAAATAATAATAAAAATAAGAATCAGATTCTCTCTTACCATGACTGCAATGCATTTCTTTAGCCAGATTTAAAATGTGCAGTTCTAGAAAATATAGAAACACAAGTTAGAATAGTTTGTCATTCATCCAGTGCATCTATCTGCATTTGAGAAAAATGTCAGGTAATGTCCAAAAATATGAATAAAACCCTATCAGTACTAATATGTAGCCTTTCATAAATACCATTTGTTTTCAAAAAATAATCTTTATTTTTGTCTATCTTCATCTCACCATATAGAACAGTGGTTCCCAACCTTTTCTATCCCCCGCACCCCTAGAACACTTCTGATAGATTCTTGCACCCCTTACAAAAGTTGGAAATAATGGCAACGAGTTATGCATATACACTATAATTTTGAAAACCCATGTTTTCGCACCCCTTGAAATATAATCTTGCACCCCTAGTTGGGAACCCCTGATATAGGAGGTAGAGTAGTGTTGATAGATTCCTGATAACTAAAAGATTCCTGATAATAGCTACATTAACGATCAATGCAAATCCTATAATGATCAGTGCCTTTAGCAGGGAAATATGTAACAACTGGCTCATGCAATCAAGTAGCCAGAGGAGAATCATAGTAAATCCAGCTGTGTTAAAAACACTTCTAAATAGTTTTATGTATTCATTCAACATATGAACTACGGTACCTAGTACACTTGACTTCCACTTCATAGAAAAAAAAATAAAGGGTTTTTATAGTGAGCTGAAATGTATACAAAACAGTCCAGTTGGATAGTCCAGTTTAGTGGCAAACAATGTTAAATGAGTAGAAAAAAAATTAATGTTACCTTTATCTTTTTCCTTGACTGGGGAGGATACTCTTAGTTGAATGTTGTTTTTTTCTGAATAAGAAATCCTAAAGGTTAAGTAACAAAAGAAAGTCTTCAAAATTAGAATTTCAAGCCCAATTCAGTTAAAGGAATGTCCTACTTCCAGCAATGTATTTTTTTCACTTTCAAATGATTTTTAAAAAGATTTTTAAAATAAGAATAAACTTCCAGTAGTATGGGCAGAATTTATTGTAGTCCACAATTTTATTGTATAACTCGTACTGTTGTTATGATTGCTGTTTCTGATTTTATTTCTCTCTCCCCTCCCCCCCCCCCACTGGGCTGCCAAGCCGCAAAAGTTAGGGACCACTGATTTAGTGAATCAATGGTGGTTAAGTGAACACTACAGCCATAAGTATAAAACCATTCTTCTCAATGGGCATTTTTTTTTTGCCAGAAACTGGCAAAAAGTTACAAAACACAGTCATGTGACTACAGAATGCTTTAACCACTCTAACTGGTCATAAAGCAGAGGTCCCCAGCCTTTTTGGCATCAGGGACTGGTTTCATGGAAGACAATTTTTCCATGGACCACGGGTGGCATGGGATGTGGGAGGGTTCAGGATGATTCAAGTGCATTACATTTATTGAAAATTTTCTAAATAAACAAATGAACAAATAAATAATGCACTTATTTCTATTATTATTACATTGTATTAGATTAGATCAGTGACTTTCTGCTTCTAAGAAAGTGGGAAGGAAGAGACAATCCTAAAAACTCAGCCTTCCAGCAAAACCCAGTATGTTGAGGAAGTGCTTAGAATATCATTCAAAAGAGAGAGAGAGGTGGGGGAGGGAGGGAGGGAAGGAGAGAGAGAGAGAGAGAGAGAGAGAGAGAGAGAGAGAGAGAGAGAGAGAGAAAACCAATTCCGCACTGCGCTAGCCCAGCAGTCTTGGAAAAGGTGCAAATGAGGGATTCCCTTGGAGAAAGGGGAAATGTAGCTTCCCCCCTCCCCCTCCCCCTTTGCAAGCCAGATAGGCTTGCAAACTTGGAGAGCTGCAGAAGAAAAGAGGAACACACACACACACCAAAATAAACCACGAGAAGCAGGCAGGATGTTGCCAAAACATGAGGCACCTGGAGCATCAAAACAAAAGCAAAAAACTCTGGTTGAAGGCACCTGGAGCATCAAAACAAAAGCAAAAAACTCTGGTTGAAGTACAACAGAGCCCAGCGGTCTTAGAAAAGGTGCAGACGAGAGAGAGAGAGAGAGAGAGAGAGAGAGAGAGAGAGAGAGAGAGAGAGAGAGAGAGAGAGAGAGAGAGAGAGAGAGAGAGAGAGAGAGAGAGAGAGAGAATCCCTTGGAGATGCAGGGCTTAAGGTGAAGGGTAGCTTCCCCGTCCCTATTTGCACTCTGACAAAAAGACACCCTCACACACACACAAAGCTTGGGAGGGTCCCCCTCCAATGAGGCTTTGGGGAAGCTCCCAGTTGCAAGCTGCACTTGTCTTGCAAACTTGGAGAGTTGCATGAAGGGCACACAAGCTCAGCTGGGGTGCTAGGAGGGAGAGAGGAGGAAAGTAAGGAAGGAGGAGGAAGAAGTAGCAGGAGGAGTAGTCAGTTGCAAGTGCTGGAAAACCTTTGCACTGAGCAAAACAGTTTCTGCCCAGCCACTCTCCTGCCCCTGCCCAGACCCCTGCAGTCTTGCCTCATGCCTGGAGGTGGAAGACATGCATTCAGCACACCCCCACCTGTGCGGCCCAGTTCCTAACTGGCTGCAGACTGGTATCGGTCTGCAGACCTGGGGTTGGGAACCCTGTTGTAAAGGATAGCTGGTTGTCAAATTCCCAAAATATGTTCATGTGACCATGGAATAAGGTGACACAATATTTTATGACAGTCAGAGGTGCTTTATGGACCATAAATAACTTATTCTGGGTCCGTTATAACTTTGAACAGTCATTAAGAAATCAGTCATAAGTCAAGGACTACCACTAATGATTTTCAGTATTTGTAATCTCACTTTTCAAAATTTCCCAAGCTTCTTCAGTTGCTTTCCCTTTGAGGATTCTCATCCATGGAATCCTTCCCAAGTTCTCTCTAAGTTTATTGAAATTAGCTCTCTTAAAGTCCAAGGCTCTAGTTTGACTATGTTCTGTTGCTCGTGCTTGCATAATGTTGAATTCCAATATTGCATGATCAGTCCCTCCCCCCCCCACAAGTTGCCTGTAGCTTCAACACTTTCTATCATTTCATCTCTCTTAGTGAGAATTAAGTCCAATATGGCTGATCCCCTAGTTCTCTACTTCTCTACTTTTTGGGAGACAAAGTTGTCTGCTAGGATTGTCAGGAATCTGTTTGATCTTCCACTTGGTACAGAGTTTGTCTCCTAGTTGATGTCAGGATAGTTAAAGTTCCTCATTACTATTGTGATGTACTTCCTACATATCTTAGTTAACTAACTAGCAAAAAGTTCATCTATTTCTTCTGTTTGGTTTCATCTCACCAATTTTCCTTAATGGCAACAATATCATATCTGCCTTCATTTACTTTAATTTCCAATTCACCTATTTATTGCTCACACTCTGTGTACTTTAACAATCCCTATCATTTCAATAGGAATTATGTAAGAACAATAAGATCAGGAGATGTGAGTGGATAATATATTGTTTCATTGTCTGGTAAGCTACAGTATATCCAGTATTCCTTATACTTATTTTGCTATCATAATTGTACTTGATTCTCACCCAAGATTTGACCATTTAGCTGTCATCGAAGGCTTATTTGTTGAATGGTTTTGCCTGTTGAAAAATTGTAAAAATTATTATATGTTACTAATCATTGTGTGCTGGAAGAACAAAGAAAGACTTTGTTATAATCTGTACTGTAGTTACCTAATTACAGAAAGAAAGAAAAAATGAAATAGAACAATGTGATAAATAGGTAAAACATTAAGAGTGCAATTTACACAACCAGAGAATCTGTAGATACTAATTTCTGTGATTTATACATAAACCGTATATATTATCAAAAATGTTAACTTATCATATGAGGTCGAATAATTAAATGTAGAGAATAAGTCAAGCATTAAATGTAGGGAAGAAATCAAGTATAAAGAATAAATCAAGCAATTAAAAATTCAAAATGTGAGAAGGCATAAGGCAATAAATGCAAACATTTTAAATTACAGTAGCAGAGTAATTAAATCTATTGAAATAACTTGTTCTTTTATACAAATGGTTTTCTTTCCAGCTTTTTATTCAAACACTCAACCAAATGCAGTTTCTTTCACTTTTATTTCTATAACATCCAAGGGGTATTTAGGAGTGCAACTTTCAGCTCATATTGAAAAGCCATCTATTACAGTAATAAATATGCAAATGTGTAGAATTATACTTTTAAAGGGTGGCCAATTTTGGATCATCTTTGTCAAAGTTAATTTTATTTTGAGATGTTTAAAATTAATAAAATGAAACAAATTTATTCAATTAAGATCATATGGTTTTCTGAGCTTTTACATGTTGGACTGATGCCATAATGTTAAGGTTTGCTGAGAGGTATAAAGAGTTAGGAGAATGTTTATCAAAAACTGCATTTCGACAAAAATTACAGAACTATATCACTACAATCTAAGTTATTTGAAATTTTTTTGTTAATCCCTCTTAACATTTTTTTATTTTTATTTTTAACCAACAAGACAAAACAAAACAAAGCAAAACATAACACACATACACACACAATATACACTCCTCCTTTTTTTTTTTACAGCAATTGCGTAACGGTAATCTATTATTTACATTTTCCCCTTATTCTTCTTTAGAATATTTGTCCTTATAGCCCCGTTATTTCTTATTTACATTTTTCTTTTTCATGTTCTAATTCTTACTAAGAATAATTCATATTATTATTATTATTATTATAATACATTATTATACACATATTTTCACTTTTGACCTTTCCATGTTTATTCTCCTCTATTATTTCTAGTCTCCAACCAGACATACAACTTGTTCCATGTTATATAACACTCTGTGTCTTCCTTTTCTTTTATCTCTTTTGTTAATTTGTCCATCTCAGCACAGTCCAGGATTTTTCTTATTATTTCTTCCTCTGATGGTATATTCTCATTTTTCCAGCACTGTGCATATGCTATTCTTGCCGCCGTTATTATATGTAAAATTAAGTACCATATTTCTTTACTATATTTTCTGTTTAAAATACCCAACAAAAAGTTCTCTGGTTTCCAGTCTACAGGTTGGCCTATTATTTCTTCGATCCATTTTCTTATTGTAGACCAGTATTTTTTTGCAACTGGGCATGTCCACGATAAATGATAATATGTTCCATGTACTTTTTTACATTTCCAGCATGTTGACGAATTGTTCTGGAACATCTTGGCAAGCTTTGCTGGTGGAAGATGCCATATGTAAAACATCTTCAACTAGTTATCCTTAAATGCCGCTGACATAGTCAATTTTATATTTATTTCCCATATTTTTTCCCATTTCTCCAATTCTATATTATATCCCAAAATTTTTGCCCATCTAATCATTGTGTCTTTGACAACCTCGTCTTCCATTTTATATCTCAATAGGTATTTGTATAAATTGCTAATTAATTTTATTTCTGTTCCATGTATAATTTTATCCAATTCTTGCGGCTCTTTTTGGATTTCATATAATTTTTTGTCCTCTGTATATTTAGATTGAATTTGTGTAAATGTCCACCAATCAATCTCTCTGCCAATGTCTTGTTCCAATTCTTGTTTTTTTTCAAATTTCCCTATTCATTTACTAATTACTTGTATCTAATTATCTTATTTATATCCAATAGGTTTGGGTATTTCAGAGCTTCTGTTGGGGATAACCACATTGGAATTCTTATATAATGTTTTTGTTTTATTTTTTCCCAAGTCTGTAGCAATGCATTCCTAACTATGTGTCTTTGAAAGTATCTGTGTATTTTATGTTTTTCGTCCCATAGGAATGCATACCAGCCTGCTTGCAAGTCATGTCCTTCTATTGTTAAAACTCTAGTATTTTTCATCCAATCTTTTAGCCAAGTTAAGCTCGATGCTTGGTAGTATATTTCCCACTCTGGTAATGCCAATCCCCCTTTATCTTTCATATCTTGCAAGAGTTTTAATTTAATCCTGGGTTTTTTCCTTTGCCATATAAATTTAGTGACCAATTTATTTAATTCTTGAAAGAATGTTTTCCCTAATTTTATTGGAATAACCTGGAACAGAAATAATATTTTTGGCAATACATTCATTTTGACCATAGTGGTCCTCCCTAAAAATGAAATTTGCAAATTTTCCCAATTTTCTAAATCTTTTTTTATCTGGTGTAATATTTTATCACAATTGTCCTCCTTAATCGAGGAACATTTCGCTGTAAGCCAGATCCCTAAATATTTTATTTTCTTGGTTAAACTTATCTTTGTTTTATCTTCCAATTCCCTTTCCTGTGCCTTTGTAAGATTTTTTTGTTATTAATTTGGATTTATTCTTATTAATCTTAAATCCGGCTACCTCACCAAATTCTTCTATTTTTTTAATCAATTTAAAGCCGGTTTCTAATGGATCTTCCAAAATAAATACCAAATCATCAGCAAAGGCCTGGACCTTATATTCTTCCTTTTTAATTTTTAAACACTTTATTTCTTGGTCCTCTCTGATTTTTGTAAGGAGTATTTCTAATGATAAAATAAATAGAAGAGGGGAAAGTGGGCATCCTTTTCTTACTCCTTTGGTTATATCAATTTTTTCTGTCATTTTCTCATTTATAATTACCCTAACTGTTTGTTTAGTATATATTTTCTCAACCATCTTTCCAAATTTTGTCCCAAAATCCATATAGTACAATTGTGTTATAATAAAATTCCAATTCAAATTATCAAATGCCTTCTGGGCGTCAAAAAAAAAAAAAAAAAAACAGTGTAGCTTGTCTTTCAGGATGGACTTCATAAAATTCTAAAGTGTTCAGTATTATCCTCATGTTATTTTTTATTTGTCATCCTGGTAAAAATCCATTTTGATCTGGGTGGATGTAGTTATTCAATTTTTTTTATCCTTTCTGCTATTATTGTTGTAAATGTCTTATAATCTGTATTCAATAAAGAAATCGGTCTATAATTTTGAATTTGTTGTAGGTCTGAGTCTTCCTTAGGAATGATGATGATGATTGCTTCAGTCCAAGTTGTCGGTATCTTCGCCTCTTCCAACACCTCATTGTAAATCTCCAACATTATCCATTGTAGTGACTCTTGTGTATTTTTATAAAACTCGACCGGAATTCCATCTTGGCCTGGTGATTTGTTGTTTTTTTGTTTTTTCAATGCTGTTTCTAGTTCTATTGCAGTTATTGGTCTATTCAACATTTCCTTTTTTTCTTTAGTAATTTTGCTCATTTTTGCTGCCTCTATATATTGTTTGACTTTATTATCTGGTATATCTTCCTGATGGTATAGCTTTGAAAATAAATTTTGTATTATTTTCTTTTTTTCTTCTCATCTATATTGTACTGTTCCACTTCCATCTTGTAGCTGGTGTAGTGTTCTTTTGCCCTTTTCTTTTTTTAATTTATAGGCCAACCATTGACCAGTTTTATTCTCATTTTCAAAGTAGTTTTGTTTCGCCATCCTGATTTTCTGTGCCATTTCTTTTTGTGTTTTCAGGTTAATCTTGTGTTTTATAATATTCCATTTTTCTTTTATCTTTTTATTTTGTGGGCCCGTCTATAGATCACCTTCTATTTTTTAAATTCTTCTTGTAATTTTCCTTGTTGAAGTCTCCTATCTTTGTTTTTTTTAGAGTTGTATGCAATTGTCAATCCCCGAATGTAAGCTTTTGTAGTATCCCACAAATTTTGTGCTGATGTCTCTTCCTTTTTATTTACCTGAAAAAATAATGTCAACTCCTTTTCTAGCATCTGTATATAGTGTTTATCTTTACACAGTCTTTGATTCATTGACCATCTTTTTCTCTGTTTCTGGCCTTTCCATTTTATTATTATTGGGTTGTGATCCGCCCAATCATTAAGCCCTATTTCAGTTTCCTCTATTCCTTTTTGTATGTCTGTTGTTGCCCAGGCCATATCGATCCTAGACCAAGACTGATGTGGATACGAATAGAATGTATATTGTTTGTCTGATCTGTGTGTCTCTCTCCATATATCCTGAAGATTGAGTTCTGTTACCATGTCAAAGAACGATTTTGGTAATATTTTTTTTTCTTTTTGTTCTTTTTACTACTCTTATAATCTTTCTTAACATCAACTATTGCATTTAAATCCCCAATCACACAAATATTTTCGTAGTCCAGATCCACTAATTTCTTATGTACCTTTTTAAAAAATTCTTGTTGATTATTATTTGGTGCATATACTGCTGTTAATAAGATTTGTTTTTGCTCTAATTCTATTTCCAACATTAAAATTTTCCCCTCTTCATCCAAGTATATTGATTTTGATTTTATTTTTTCTTTGACATATATAGCAATTCCTCCTTTCTTGTTTTGTGCTAATGTTGTGTATAGTGTTCCTAATTTTACATTCTCTAGTAATTTTATATAATCCTTTTTTATATGAACTTCCTGAAGACATATCACACCTGCATCCAATTTCCTTAATTTGTTAAACGTTTGTGCTCTTTTTCTTGGTATATTTAATCCATTAATGTTTACAGAGAAGAGCTTAATTGCGTCTCCCATTTTTTACTTGATCTATTTTTTATGCTTCTTGTCTCTATTACTCTTCCTTTTGCTCCTTCTCTTTCTAACCTTTCTCTTTCTTGTATCTTTTGTATTTCTCTCTCTCATTCGACTTCCTCTAATACATCTTCATCCTGACTTTTACTCTCCGACTCTTCCCTACTTTCTTGTTCTTCTCCCTGTGTAAAGTAACGTTCATAAAAGTCCTGCGCTTTCTCAAGTGTATCTATCTTATATATTTTTTCTTGCCAAGTTAGAAATATGCCTTTAGGTATTAACCATCGAAACATAACTTTATATTTAATTAATTGGATCATTAGAAATTGGTAATCTCGTCTCTGATTTCGTATACTACGTGGTATTTGTTTTAATACAATTATTTCTTTACCCTTATATATTATTGGTTTGTCTCTTGTTTTTTTATATATTTCATCCCTTACTGATCTTCTAGTAAACCTTATATGGACCTCTCTTGCCAATCTATGCCTTCGTGCATAATTTGTATATACTCTATATATTTTGTCTATGTCTCTTCTTACTTCCTGTTTTTCCTTGCCTAATATCTCCGCCAGCATCTCCACCATCTTCTCTCCCAAATCTTCTTCCTTTTCCTCCACGATATTTTGGAATCTTAGAAAGAACGAAGCTTTATTCATTTCCAAAAAGGCAATCGATTCAGTCAATTCCCTATTTACCTGCTCAGATTTCTGTACCATCCTTTCTATTTTGCTATCAACATGCTCCATTTTTGTTTCAACATTTTGGATTCTTTGTTCATTTTCCATCATTGTTTGTTATATATTGCCTATCTTATCATTCATGTTTTTAATTTCATCTCTCACTTCTCCAATATCATTCTTAATTTCTTTGTGATATATTTTCGTTTCTTCATGATTGTTTGCTATTGCCTCTTGGGTCATCATCATTGTTTCTTGAATCGTTTGTAGTGTTATCTGCATGCTCTGTGGGTTCATTGCCGATTCTGTTTTTTCTTTTTCTTTCCCCAACATGGTTGTTATCATTCTTTGACCTGTAGGAGAGGCCATTATAGGTGTGGGATTTGTAACTGTTTTTTTGCCAACTTTAGTTGTTGTTGCAGTACTTGTCATTTTTATTATTTGAATAATATTTCTCCACTTTTGCATATACCAATTTATGGCAAGTTGCTTTTGTTGATCAAGTTGGTTTTCAATCTATATAGTCTAAGCTTAAATATGCAAATATATATACAATATAGATAATAAAGAATATATATATATATAATATTTCTAATTATGTATCAATATATATGACTATAATACCTTTATAGAACGTTATTCTTAGGATTAACGTTGAAAAGTAAATTTACAAGTAGAGTTGTACCTTTCCTTATTCCACTATTATCTAGTACAATTTATAATACTCTAAACACCTCTTATATATATTTCTATAGCACTACACACGATGCATATATATATATACTTTTCTCTAAGTATTATCACCACTGTTAATTTCATTCACTATCGCTCTTATTTGAATAATCACCTGTCTATATTTCTTTACAATACTATAATTACTTTCTCACTTCTATTTAGTTCAATTACACAATTATGCTTATTTCTATTTCGTTAATACAATTCATTTACTTCATTACTTTTAATACATTGCCTGATGCCCCTTTTCTACTTGTAGCTTAGTCACTGCTTGTATATGAGTGCTACAATATTGCATCAGCCTTTTTTTCTCTGTGTCTCAATTTAATATATCCACCGATCCACCAAATGTCACCTCTTCTTTCTTCTTCTATATATCCAATATTTCCAAAACGTCCACTCGTCACTTTACCCAGATATATGTCAGTTAAAGTCCAAATTTCAATGCTGTTTGTTCTTCAAAAATAGGTTCCACTAATGGACAATTTCTCCATTGTCTCACTTCACCTTTTAATCCTTATGTTAATTTTTCAAAGTCCTTCTTAATCACCCTTTATTGCCTCCAACCGTCCTTTCTCCAGTCCTTTCTCTGGTTTCAATCTCTACTTCTTGCAGTTCTTAAATTCCAGTCTCTCACGTTTTATAAACTTTACTGTGGACTCTCTGCTTCTTCACGCTGCTCTCGTTCTGCTCTATTGCTCCCTTCTCTGTTCTATTCCAATTCAGTTGCCGCTGTGTCTCTCTCCTTATAGCTTTGCTTTTTCTGCGTCTTCTCTCAGCCAAATGTTCTCACCTTCAGGGTTTTCCTCATCTCCGTTACGAAGCTGTCAGTTCTACTTTTCACTCCCTCTCAGATTGCCGCCATTGCTCCAGGCTGGCCTTGAAGACCGGCTTCTTCTCTGCCAATTTTAAAAGTGCTGCTCCTTTCTGCTCAGGTGTTTGCTTTCCACCCGGCTTCTCTGAAGCTTCCTCTTTAATTTACCAATCTCTCCTGGATCAGTAAAGCCCTTGCTGGGCTCTTAGCGAAGATTTTTTGGGATTTAGGAACAGAGGTCTGTTCCTTCACCTGCTCCACAATGACATCACAGCCGGAAGTCCCCCTCTTAACATTTTTTGAAATATAGGCCTTGATCAGCTCATTCTTTTTTCTGATTTTCCCTCATTTATGCATAGTGTCACAGATTTGAGGAAAATAAAATTTAGCATGACTTATTTATTATATATTAAGATACATTATATATTTATTACCTTATATTTGAGATTATTGAAAATGATGTCAAACATGGATCATAATGGATATTTGGATTTAGTGTTAATTTGTGAACAGTTATTGCTATCAGGACAATTAATCAAAAGAATTGTCTAACAATCTCTTTCAGCCTCTAATAGTTTCAAATGATAATGTGATAAAGTTGTAAACAAAAAACATAATTAAAATATTATCTTACCCTTTTGGAAGGTTTGCAGATGCTACTTCGTTAATTCTTTGGAACTGTTTAAGTAAACTTGAAAGGAAGAAATGAAGGGCTAAGATGGAGTTAAGCTTTTTTCCTGAGTTCATCATACGATAAAGATCATGCAGCAAAAAATGGATTTTAGGAACAGCAGAAGGTAAAAGCTGAAAGTAAAAGCAGTTGGGAACAATAAGAAATGATGTCTTTCATCCTGTTATGGTGAAGAAACATTAAATAATCAAATTTACATGGAAAAATATTCACATTGGGAAAAACATTTATTTCAAAATAAAATCACAAATGTCACATACCAATTCAAATTGCCCTGGATTCTGAATCCCTTTCACAAAACTAATCAATGGATTTAATTCTTCTAATGTTAGGCAATAATCAGAATTCTCCTTGAAATGGTCATCCTGTGAATAGATAATAGGAGAACCTTGGGTCAAATAAGAAAATACTGCTTGGATGTTCTGTTCCTGGGGCAGACATGGCTAAAGAAATCCCAGAGCTGCATCACTTTGGAATGTAGCATTCATGTCTGGAGGGGAACTGGTACAATTATTTAGTTTTTCATTAAAAATACCTATATAGGTACAAACTAATATGACAAAAAGAAAATATTAGTAATAGAGTAGTATTAGCAGCAACCCTAGTCCTCTTCATATTCAGATATGCAATTTGCCAACTTTCTCCAAAGGACTTAAAATCTCTTAGGTGATTTAGAATGAAAATATGGCTGATAATATCAAAAGCTATTGGCAATTATAAGCCAGTCACAGCTTTAATACTGAAAAAAAAATTGTTTGCAGAATGTTGCCATACCTCAAGCCTTACCTTAATTCTTGCTGATCGATATACATTCTGCATAGCTTCAAAGAAAGTGGAGGCAGACGTTTGATTTGATAAGAGGATACTGAATGTATCTCTAAGAAGAATTTCTTTAACAGTTTGGTCCTCTGAAAATGAATCTTCATCAGCTTGAAAATCAAAATATTCATGTACCTAAAATAGATATTAACTGATTAAATCATGTAACCAATTTATTGATCTCAACATCTACAAATGCATAGTTCTATTAGAAATGTTTATCAGAACAGAAGGAGAAAACACATGTGGGAACAGAAAATACTTCCCCAGCATTGTAATTTTCCTCTTTTCAAAAATCCTTTCACCTAATCACACAGGTCACCCACCCCACCTGTTATTTACATATGACAATTGTAACGTGCAAAACTTACCTCAAGAACAATAGGATAAAAAGTGTGTCCAAATCCAACATCAAAAGTTAACATCTGAAAGCAAGAACTGCATCTGAAATAAGAGAACTGAAATAAATTGATTTCATTTTTTTAATTAACCTGAAACCCAAATTTAAATGAACGTTTCAGAAACAAGCCCTGCTAAGTTGTCTCAACATGGCATTGGGGAGGGGGGGGATGTTCCTGGGATGGATGACCAAAGAACATTAGGCGTCTGTGCCAAGAGTATATACTCCTAGTTGGGACACTCCAAGTATGAAAATCATTCCTAAAACAAGCAGGCACCTAGGTTGGGCAGCAAAGATATAGGAAAGTGCTGAATTCAGATGATCAGTTTAGGGACAATGGCCAAGGCATTATTTAAACAACTCCTGTAGCTTATCAAGAAAACCATATGATTAGAGAATATAAAGTGATTGGTGATATAATTCTAAATGATGGACATCTCTGGTTGATTAGCACTCAGCGTGCTAATAAGGAAATGCTAAGGATCTTTTGCAGTATTACTAGTATTCATCACACAGCAAGATTAAAGCCTAACAAGTGTTTACCTGTTATTTTGCCATGCAGCAAAATAAAATCCAAAATGGCAAGGACAGAATTACAGTAAGAACATGGAACATAAGAACACAATGAAAGATGGAATGAATCAAAGACATGTTACTTAAGTTACTGGCAAACTGAAATGGACCAAAACTGGGTATTTTCCACTAAAAGAGCATACTGTTAACTATAAAAACCAAAGAGCATTGCTTCCATAGCTTGGGAAAATATAGCAAAGCCACCATTTGGATACTGATACAGAAGAAAAGGGTGTTGACAAATTTACAGTCAAGCTCAACCTAAAATTCAGAAAACATGCAAGCATAATATACTGCTTGTGGCTGGAATGCCAAAATTGGAAATAGTGAGGAGAAACCATCATTGGATTATATGGCCTAAGAAACAGAAATGGAACAGAAGAATGAACTGCTGGAATAACCACTGAAATATGGCAAGCAACAGAAAAAGAATCAGTCAAGATCCTAATCAAGCTATGCCAGCAAATCTGGAGAACAACACAATGAAACAACAGATTGGAAGAGATCAATTTATAATCCAGTACCTAAAAAAGGAGACTTAATAGAATTATCTGCAAATTATCATACAATATCCTTAATTTCACATGCAAGCAAAATAATGCTTAGGATCATCAATACAGATTTTAATTATACATGGAAATGGAAATTCCATATGTTCAAGGTGGTTTTCAGAAAGGTCAAGGAACAAGAGACATTATTCTTGATGTACACTGGATAGTAAAGCCACAGAATATAAAAAAAGAAGTCAATATGTGCTTCCCTGATTATAGAAAGGTTTTTGATTGCAAAACCAGTCAAGCTGTGGAATGTGTTTTCTGTCTTGGATATTTAGCCAACTTTTGTTTATTGTACTAGCATTCTGTTTTTCCTTTAGAATAGGTGTACACAATCTTTTTAGGTGAGGACAGCACTTGGCTCAGATGGAACCAGGAAAAAGGCAGACCCAAGATGAAAACCAAATCTATCTTTTTCATTATGGGTATTGAGCAAAATTCATCTCATGGGTATTGAGCAAAATTCCAGAGCAAAAGAACATTTTTATAAATAATATAAGATATTATTAACTAATCTGCTGACTTGTCATTCAATCCCAACCATTCTCTGACTTGGAATTATTTCTGGGTAAACCAAAGAACATTTCTTGGAAAATTGTCTATATTCACCCACTTACTGACTAGTAGTTTGTGGCTGAGGTAATGCTGCTTCGCTGAAAACCTCAGTTATCAACAAGAGTTTGCTTATTGCCTCTTTCATGTCATCCAAAGCCTGCTGAGGAGAAGCAGCCCTCAAAAATGTCTGAAAAAATGTTTGCAACTGTAAAAGAAAAAGAGAAACATGTTTTTTAAACACTCAAATATATATTTCTTTAACCCCAGGGAATTCTTAAACTGTAAGCTTAATCCTGCCATTTTCCACTTAAAGAAATAGTAGACAGTTGACTATTCAATATTCTGGAAACAGAGATCAAGTTCAAAGGGGTTTGTAAGGATAGTTTTGTTCCATTACACAGTTGGCTTCAGACATACATTGAAATGAATTACAAAAAAAAGTATACATCTGACATACATTTACATTAAATCAAGATCTCTGGAGTTACAGAAATCACTTTATTTTCTCTTTTGGCAATTATTTACTTCAGCTAAGTTTCTGGATATTTGAACTTTGATTTTCTTACTGACAAAATGGACAGAATCATGAAATGTCATATGGAAAGGCTTTGAAATATCCACAATGGAGGAAATGTTGAGGATAATGACAGAATTTGCAGAGACACCAAAATTAACTGAAGAGGAAAAAGACAATGACCACATTTGTCAGTAACTGGAAACCTTTTATAGACTTTCTGCTGAAAATTGAAAAAAAATAAACTTCTGATTTATAGGTTTGATAATTAGAAATAGAATGTGGAAAGAATGGAACCACAATATAATTTCAGACAGAAGGGATAAAATATAAATGCATTCATGATTGCTATAAAAAGACAAGATGTTGCTTTTTTATTTTTTTCCTTTGTTGTTTTTATTTATTTCTTGTTTACTTATCACTTTTCTCCACTTTGTCTTCTTTAAAATTGCATTGTTTTTACTCTGTAAAATATTTAATAGCAAAATAATAAAGAGATTCATGGTGGGTCATAAAAGGTTCATTTATGAGCAAAGTAATTCTAGAGGTTGTTTGTGTTCTCAGGTGCCTGCATGCTCATTCATGTTTATGGACACCAGCTGTTTTTTTAATTTACATTTTAAAATGGTTTACCACTTTTTATTTTCTGCACAAATCTCAAACTAATTTATAATCCTTTCATAAAATAACTAAAACAATGGATTGAAGTTTACCTTAACTATGCATTTCTAAAGACTACCAGAATGCGTGTTAAAAAAAAATGAAGCTCAAACTTCCTAGCAGTATTGCCTTTGTTCAATCCTCTCTGCATTTATTTTTATTCCCTAAAGTATATTTCTACTTGTGTTCCATGAAGGGTTGAAAGATGACAGTTTGGAAACAAAGGAATTCTAAGAGACTTCCTGTCTCTTGGAGCATTTTCTCTGCCTCTTGTCCTTGGTATACAAACAGATAGCATAGAACTGTGAGGTGAGAGAACAGAATTGGAAAGATAAGATAACTTTTTTCTTAGGAGGAAGAATAAATGAATGACAGCTGTGCAAAAAAACCCCCACATGTTTTGTGACTTGCTAAGTATTTTTTCCTTTCTTTTAATGAATAGATTGTAATCTCCCTCTACATCAAGAAAATTAATATGATCATAATAACTACAACAATATATGGAAAATAATAACCACACTCAACAGTTTTCTTTCATTGATTATCTGTTATCCACTTATTGGTTAAAAAGAAATAATAATAAGGGGGGGGGATCACAATGTATCACTTGACTGAAAAGAGTTTCTCTAACACATTACCTCCATCTACTGGACATAGAATTAAGTGACTGTACTGTAATAGTCTTTTTTCTCTCTCTCTCTCCTTCTTGGTAACTTTGAATCAGTGTTGACTCCTGGTGACTGCCTGGACCAATCTCTGCAGTTTTTGGCAAGATTTTGAAAGTAGTTTGCCACTGCCTTCTTCCTAGGGATAAGAAAGAGAAACTGGCTCAAGATCACCCAGCTGGCTTCATGTCTGAAGTGGGACAAAACTCATAGTCTCTGTTTCCAGCCTAGTGCCTTAACCACTAGACCACACTGGATCTCCATTACTCAAACTAAAAACGGTTAAAAAATATTTTACAAAGATAAGAAAGCATTGATAGAACCTATAAAAAGAATAAAAATCTTGCAATGTGAATTTCTGATCTGCATATTAATCTTGGAAAAAGAAGCTAGGTTGATTTGTTGAATTGATATAAAAACCACTTCAAGCATCCCTAAATCTGAACAGGATGAACAAGTCAATACAGTCTTTCCTACAACATGGTTACTCTGTGGAAAATTTGAAGACTTGTCAGCCTTGCCTTCCTGGGCCTGGTTTGGATTCCTTTCAGGCTAACTGAAGAAAAAGATATTTTTCTGCTGTGCTGCTAGTCAGAAAAAGTCTAAAATCTATTATTTCTTTTATTGTATTGGGATGAAGATGGGAAATAAACCAGAAATGTTTATTTTTTTATTAACTTTCTTCTAGCTGTATATGGAAGCTAGTACTAGAAAATATGTACAGTTGGACTTAGCTAGTACTTGGATGGGAAGTTAGCAAGACGCTCTAGAACTATAAGCTAGATTGGCCAGCCAAAGAACAACCTGGTACTTCTATATACTTGCCAGGGAAACTGTATCATCAGGCTTAAATTCCCCTTGATGAATTCCTTTTAAGGAAAAACCAAATCCCCTACTACTCTTGGGATATTACTGTGCCTCTTGTGGTAAATATCCATAGTACTCACCACTGCTCACAGCAGCCAGTGATAAAGCACAGGAAAATATTTTAAATACTGGCTTTTCACCCTACTATTCCTCTAAATTTAGTTCATCCTCTGTCAGAATGTCTATTTTTCCTGGATAGCCTGCCTGTTTAACTCATGTTCTTTCCATGTAATGTATGTTATTTAATGCTCTCCAGAAAGCTTCTGGAAAAATCCTATGGTAAAAGCAAAGATTTTTGCTTTTGCTTTGCTTCAGTTTTAAGAAGGAAGACAGTACTATTGTTGCTGAAAGGTGAACTTGAAGACCATTATGGCAACTGGAAGCTTCAGCTGACTGGTGGTTTCAGTGCACAGTTACTGGATCACCTGGGAATAGATAGGATGAGCTGAAAGTGTTCCTTTCACATTCAATGCCATAAAAACACATTTGGGATCTCTGGATGGTGAGACTAAAATGAGAAAAATGTATGTAGAATTTGAGATGCCTACGAGATGACATACAAACAGAAGAGATGATGGTGGAACAGAATTCAGCAGCTCTAGACAAAAGAGAGCAACCAGGCATGAATAGAATAGAACAGAATTTTTTAAGATAGTCAAGAATGCCAGCAAGAACTGTGATGTAGATGCTATTGTACATCTTGATACTAATGATCTGTCCCAAAAAGTTGTACTCTCTGTGCAGAATGATTTCCAGAGCTTGGGGCAGGAACTTAGCAGGATAGGCTGTAGGCTTATTTTTTCAGAGGTTTTACCAGTGTATAAGAAACAAAATGGAAAAGATCAACATATAGCAGAATTCAATATGTGACTAAAGGAGTGGTGTAAAGGGGAAGGCTTTGGTTATATTAGTCACGAAGTCTGCAGCTGGTCCAATGAAAAGCTGTACAAAAGAGATCATCTGCATCCATCAAAGAAGGGTACTGAGTTACTTGGCATTAAATTCACAGATTTTCTGGAGAAACGTTTAAACTGAACAACGGAAAAGTGAGTTAATTGATATAGAACATTCCTGTCCCAGGCAATCCAAAACTAATAGGGTTATCAGTACCTGTAACATAGATGTGTGTGCGGATAAGAATATCAACCTTGCTGTGGTGGTAAGGAAATGGGGGAACTCAGAAAATAAACACAGGCTCAGTCATAAAGGACTTAATGTCCAACACACAGAGTATGAGCAATAAACAGGGTGAATTAGAAATTCAGGTATTGAGGGCAGATATGTTATTGTTGCTATTATGGAAACGTGGTGGGATGAAACAACAAATGAAACACACAGCTAGAGGGATTTAAATTATTTAAAAGAAACAGGCCAAATAAAAGAGGAGGTGGAGTTGCACTATATATAAGAAATAACTACATCTCTACAGAAATAGAGCTCAACAATGATGAAAACTGTCTTGGCTTCCGGTTTTGCGCAGTAGTGCAGCAGCCGAGGGATCGAGGGCTCCGCACCTTACAGCTGATTTCTGCCTGCTTGGGGACCTAAATGGGCCTGAAGTTGCTCCATAGAGACAACAAAGAAGGAGGAAAGTCCCGCTGATTGTGGAGAGACAGCGGTCAATCTGATCGGTTTGGGAAAAGCCTTCCAGAAACTGTCAGGAGAAAGGTTAGCTAAAATCAGAATCCTAGGGCAGTGGTGGCGAACCTATGGCACGGGTGCCAGAAGCAGCACTCAGAGCCCTCTCTGTGGGCACACACGCCGTCACCCCAGTCCTAAGCATTCAGCTGGGTTTTATAAAACCTTTTCGCTTTAGGCCTCCACCGCCGTGTGCAAACAATAAAAAAAATAGGTTCAATCAGTCAATTTCAATTTTTTGCGGGAAAAAAAAGATCTTGCAAAGTTGGAATTGATTGATTGAACTTTTTAGTCCCACCCAGTCTGCCATTACCACAGCAGCCATGCCCACCCACTGGGCCACACCCACCCGGCACTCAACGTTGCATAAGTGGGTTTTGGGTTGCAGTTTGGGCACTCAGTCTCTAAAAAAGAGCGTTGTCTTACCTGAACGCTTTTTCTCAGCAGGATGGTGTAGACTCCACTGATTGGGTAATTTAATCCCACCTGCTCAGACTAAGACAAAAAAACTCTGCCACGCCTCCTTCTGGGTGTGACTTCCCAGTTTTTGTCGAGGCGAAGCTACCAGACGCAAGGCTCCAAACAAAAAAGGAAGACACAGGCCTAGACTAACACTAACAGGGTGGGTGTGGAGTCTACACCATCCTGCTGAGAAAAAGCGTTCAGGTAAGACAACGCTCTTTTCTCCATCAGGATGGATGTAGACTCCACTGATTGGGACATACCAAAGCTGCTCATGTCCCTATAGGGAGGGAGTCTAGGCTTGTGACCCCTGAGAACCCACTATTTGCTGTAGGACTCTCCTACCGAAAGCAGCCTCAGCTGCTGCAAATTGATCTATCCTATAATGTTTTATGAATG